GTGAGGGAGGCTGACCGCAGTCATGTAAATAACCATCAGAGTTGATGCCTCTCTGTGAGGGAGGCTGACCGCAGTCATTTAAATAACCATCAGAGTTGCTGCCTTTCTGTGAGGGAGGCTGACCGCTGGTCATTTAAATAACCATCAGAGTTGCTGCCTTTCTGTGAGGGAGGATGACTGCGGTAATGTAAATGACCATCAGAGTTGATGCCTCTCTATCTTTGAGGATAGGGGGTCTTGCCACTTTCAAGGTCTTTCAGAAGATGAGGGAAATAAACAACTGATTTAAATTCCCCACCAAAAACAGTGTCATTGTCACCCACCGTGGTCAAGCGAGCTGCCGAGCATAGAGGAGCGGACTGAGGCCTCTAATCTCAACTTTGAGCTTTGTCTCAAAGTCTAATTAAGCAAAATGGGATCTGTCAGTGACACACGAAAGGGCTTTTCTCTCCATATCCAGCAGAACGTATAATCTCACCCCCTTATGACTCATTTACATATCAGATCTCTCTATACTTAACCAATACATCTGGACTATGGAGCCCACACACAGTGTGACAGGTAGCTTTCCATTCAAGCCTGAAGTGAGTACCAACCCTGTGTTTTTTTCTCCCAGGTGTCCCACTCTGAGACTGATGGTTCTGCCCATTCCCCCCCCCCCCCCCAAAAAAAAATGTGAAGCTGCCATCCACAGTTAAGGTCTGTGAGTGTGTGTGTTTGACAGATGGGGCTTGTCTGAGGCCCGAATGGATGTGTTTTCATGTCTTCCTAAATGCACCTTGCGATTGTCTCTTCCTGACAGTCGTAGAGTGGACGAGGTGAGGCTGNCCCGAATGGATGTGTTTTCATGTCTTCCTAAATGCACCTTGCGATTGTCTCTTCCTGACAGTCGTAGAGTGGACGAGGTGAGGCTGGCCTCTCTATCTGTCTCTCAGTGTGATCTGTGGGCCGCAGGGATTTAAAAATGCTGATGATCTGCTGTCAGCAAAGGAGCAGATGCAGACCTTAGTGGGGAGGACTCAGCTTAGTTTACCATACATGCTACGCAGTGAGGAGTTGGCAATCAAACCCCGTCTACTGCAGCAGTGGGTTTGGTGTCTTCCTCCTGTAGTGAGCCACGGGATTTTCCCAGACACAGACTTCAGAGGATTAAATCGGAGGCAGATGATGACCAGCACTGAGATGTGTAAAATAACCTTTTTGAAGGAGACACTCACAGATCTGCCATCACCTTAAGGTTTCGGTCCAGCCTGTCCGAGTCTGAGTGGAGGTGAAGTGGATCTCCTCAGGGTTCCACACACGTCAGGTAAGTCAGTGGCCCAGATTGCTCGTTTGAGGTGGACACTGTGTGTGGGTGCTGTGTGAGGATGGACTTGCTGTCCAGGGTGTTAACCATGTCCTGAAGAATAACTGTGACTCTGATTGGATGAGTGGGTTACAAAAATGGAGGGAAATGGTTCAGTCACTTAATCTGAGCAGTCGATGATTAGCAAATGTTAGATCACAATTCCAGTTTCCAATAGCAAGTTACCTTCACGAGACTGGCGTATATTTTGGATGCTTAATCTGAGTTATCTTTTGTTATTCTATGTTTCCGTAGCTGTGTTATTCTGTGGTGCTGTAGCTGTGTGCTTCTGTGGTTTTGTGCCCATGTGTCATTATGTGGTTCTGTAGTTGCGTCATTCCATGGTTCTGTAGCTGGGTCACTCTTTGGTTCTGTACTGTAGCTGTGTCATTCTGTGGTTCCGTGGCTGTGTTTTTCTGCAGTTCTGTGGCTGTGTCAGTCTATGGTTCTGTAGTTTTGTGCCCATGTGTCATTATGTGGTTTTGTGCCCCGTGTTACTCTGTGGTTTTATAGCTGTGTCATTCTATAATTGTGTAGCTGTGTGGTTCCGTGGTGAGCTGCCATTATGTTATTCTGTGCAGTCGGAGTCCATTATCTGCTCTGTTGTTGGGACCCTTCACCCTCCTGGCCAGGCCTGACTAAATCCCAGCTGTGGAGTGTCATGGAGTTCAGAACAGGTGTCGACATGGGTCTCACTCACTCAGCTCGTGTTCTAATGTCTGCCTACAGTGCTCACTAATCGTGACTGAGTGCTGCTGCACTCATACATGCGACAGGTAAGTGTCAGTGAGTAGACATTGAGTATTCTCATAGGATGGAAGCATCTGATGTTGACTCAATCGTTGCATTTTTGGCTGCCTCTCCCCACCAGACAGACGGCAGCAAGGCCTTGTATTTTGAGCAGAATTTTTCCACCAGATGGAGTATGGAAACAAACTTAACATTTCTACATGGAAAATATCAGCATATTTACAGAATTTAAAGGGCACTCACTTATCACCAAGAAACAGCTATGCTTTGTATCTGTATTGAAAGTCTGTGGATGGAGAAATTAGTCCGTCCATCCTTCCATCCATCCATCCACTTTTCATAACTTCTAATCCAGGACAGGGTTTCAGTGAGCCTATCCCAGGAAACTTAGGGCACAAGACATGGGACACACTGGACGAGATGCCAGTCCATGACAGAGCACAGGGCAGAGGACACACTGGACGAGATGCCAGTCCATCACAGAGCAACGTAGAGATACGGACAGTGGGCAAATTCTTACAAGGAGTTTAATGAAGCTGCCAGCTAACAAACATGATCAATAGGGAAAAGCAACCAAACCTGCCAGTTTTAATACTGAACCCTAAGGTTCAACGTGTCCCAGTTCTGGTGCCTTTGAAAAGTGTTTTTTGGATAACGAGAGAAGAATATGTCGCCTAATGATACCAAATGAGAGAATCATACGCCTGAACAATGGCAGTCAGAGTAGTTCATGCTGAAAGTTGTTCTTGATTAAAACCTAATGGAGAGTCTAAACTGAATTAAAAATCATACTCTAGACACAGCATCGCCTGATTCTTTCAGCTGTACAAAGATAAACCGCAGAGAGTTAAGTGGTGATGCAGTTCTCATCAATGTCTTATACACAACCCAACTTTTTCTATAACAAGTTGCACTTGTAAAAAACGGGTAAAAATATACAGTGACTGAGTATCCATAAAAAAAGAAAATCCCATCTGGTTTTCCTGTTATACTGACTCAGAATTAAATTTACTAGTTTCGCTCCACTCTAATTTTGTGATATTGTTGCCACGGTAAAATGACCACAAAGTCCACCGATATCCCTCCCCTCAGCAAAACCGGCGGCATGAAACACAAAGACCTAGATAAATAACTCTAATGATGTTTGGGCGCCGCTCAGCAGCCCAATGATGTGGGTTGATGCTCTGAACTTAAGGCTTACAGACAGATTTGGAGTTGAACGCTCGCTCTTGAAAAAAGTCAATCTCATTTGCAGCGGTATAAAGAGGTTAACGGGTCTCTTGCTTAAATCCTGAGCTCTGCATTCAGATCAGTGCTGACCAGTGTCATAATGAGGATCGACAGTCCTTCTTGGAGCACGTCAGAGTCGATAGCTTCTGTTCAAGCCGAATATAACAGCGCGGTATCATTGTGACATTGCGTGACCTTAAGCCGATGGTGTAAAAAAAAGAAAAACAAATCGATACCCAGGACTCACTGAGAGCCTCTGTGTTTGAACTGAGTCACCCCTGAAAGGCACGGGTCATGTCAGTCAACGCTGCTGTGCGTGAGGGTGCCGGTGTGTGGGTGGAACAGTGAGCGAGAACCGTCCCCAGCTGAGAAGAGATAAGGGAGAGCATGTGTTGGTGCTTCTCAACAATAGGTGATTCTGAGGATGATACAGGCCTGTTGGCTGCTTGCTAGGTTTGGGTTGTCGGCCGGTGTGTGTATACGAGGTCGAGGTCGAGGTCGCATGTGTGAACAGCAGCACCCTACCCAGAATGGCCAGCACGGTGTTGTCCTTCAGCACCTCCATGGAGCCGGAGCAGACGAAGTAGATTGCCTGCAGGGCATCGCCCTGGCGGATGAGGAACTCCCCTGGGGCGCAGAAGGACGTCTTGATGATGAGGGACAAGGAACGCAGGCACCCCCTGCTGGCCGACTCGAACAGCGGCAGCTGCAGGAGCTCCTTGTTCAGGTGCATGGCGATGTCGGCACGCAGCTCGTCTGGAAAGTCCTTCAGCAGCTGGCCGATGGAGAGAGACCACTTTTTATTAATATTTATTTATAAATCATCTCTAAATGCATGAACTGTGTGCAGTCCGTGCTGATTTGACATAAAAAAGCAGGCAGAATGAGGTTGAGAGGGTGAGGAGGAGGAGGGCTGGTAGGGAGAATGAAGACAGAAGATCAGAGATGAAGAGAGTAAAGGGAGAGTAAAATGAGGTGATGACAGGACTCAAGGAGTAAATCTGGGCAGTGAGGCTGGTAGCGGAGACACTGGATACACAGAAAAACAGGTAGCGGGGACGAAGGAGCCTGACGGTGCTGCTGGAACTGCGTTCAGTTGGTGCATTATGGGTACAGATGCACAGGCACCGTGGGCGAGACTCACTGATGCACGGTGGGCACACGCACCTCGTTGACATCGATGCCGTTGTTGACGGACCAGGTGGTCTGGAAGCACTCCAGCATGCGCTGCTCCAGGGCCTTGGGCAGCCGGTGCACGCGGATGAAGTCCTTCAGGTCCTTGGTGCGCGTGTGGTAGAGCGAGCGCCGGGAGTACATGCGCTGGATGATGGCCGTCACGTTGCCAAAGACCACGGCGTGCATCAGCGCTGTGCAGACAGTACGTGGGACCATGAACCAACAGCACAGCACGTTTCACTATGAGTAAGTAAAGAACATACATTTTATTGAGTGCTTTTACATGGTGTGAAAAAAAAACAAAATCTGTAAGGCCCTTAGAAGGAGCATCAGGTGACCCCGTTCCCTGACCTCATTGGCCCAGGAATGCAGTCATAAGCAGCCGCGCTGTGAGATTTGAGCGATGCACACAAATGCGCATCGATGAGGGGCTGTGACAGCCGGCTCCAAAGGATTAAAGGAGAAGAGAGCGTGAGCCAGAAAGCAAGGTGAAGGCTCTGTTTTCCCTAATAATTAATGTCTGATTATGCAACATGAGTACATGGATCACTGTTACCATGACTCCCCCAAAGCAGAACTTCCTGCCTCGCTCTCCTCCAACTTCTGCCGCTCGGAGAAGGCTCCTGATTAGCTGCTAGGTTCCACCACCGGACCCGACTGGACATGTGACTCCCCGCCACCAGCTGCCCATTGGTGCAGCCACCTCTGCCTTTATGTTGCCATACGACACTGTCCCTTGTGTACGAGTTAAAGAAAAGCACTTTGTCAACAAGGCGCTGCTCCAGTGACCATGAGCAAGGTACATGGATTGCTGCACGGCTTCTGTAAATATGCTGCTGTACTGTTTGCCAGATAAATAATGCATAATGGTTTTGAGCAGGTAGACCATGCGGCATATTGGCAAGGACACAGAGTTTCAGGAGTGTGTAGCACCATACCTGGCTGCCAAGGGACAGTGTCTGCCACACCTCAGCCCCACGGACTCACTGCTGAATGCTGAAGCAGATGAACAGCAGCCAGGAGTCATTTTTTAAAGGGACGGCGAGCCTTAAGCACACTCACCCCCAATAAGCATGGTACAGATGGAGAAGATCTTCTCAGAGTCGGTGTTGGCTGAGACGTTCCCGAAACCCACGCTGGTCAGGCTGCTGAGCGCAAAGTAGAGCGACGTGACGTAGGAGCTGCGAACTGAGGGACCGCCTTCCAGCTCCGCCCCCGATTCATTCCATTGGCTCGCACCGGGAACCGCCCTCCTCTCCGACTCAGTCCCTGATGAATTCCACTGACTGCTGTTAGGTGGGAGTCCGTCCGTGCGGTCGGTGACTCCCGAAAGTGAGGTCAGAGGGGACATGAAGTAAGGCGTGCCCAGGCGCTTGGCGAGTTCATGCAGCCAACCTGGAAGGAGGGCAAAATGATCCCAGTAACAGTCTGGACTCTGACATGTACCAGTGACCAAGGAGCATGTTTACATCTTGCACCTTTTATACATTTTAGGCAGGGTGTTCAATATTTTTAGGGAATAAAAAACTCTCAATATTTGCTGGATGAATAGGAGGAGCCTCTGGATCAGCTGGGAGTGTGTGACCCCCTGAATCCTCCCAGTAAGGTCCTCTCTGCAGGATCCCAGTAAGGTTCTCTCTGCAGGATCCCAGTAAGGTTCTCTCTGAGTCCTCCCACTAAGGTTCTCTCTGCAGGATCCCATGACAGTTTGGACGTCATGGTGCCTGCTGTGCCGGACACCCCCATCCTCTCCCTGAAGCTGGTTCAGGCTCTGTACCGCAGCGCGGAGCTCAACAGCTCTCTCAGGCTGTCTTTGAAGTGCGCTTCACATACACACCACAAAGTCACCCGGAGCGATGATAGCGCACCCCAGGAGACGAGCCAGACAGGGAAAGAGTAAGAGGACTGAGTGTGTGTGTGTGTGTGTGTGGGGGGGGGGGGGGGGGGGGGGGGGGGGTGGGCATGGTAGGCATGACAGAACCCTCACAGTCCACTTAACACCATTATCACCTACAAAACACCACCACAGATCAAAAGCTCCGCTCACGTAACCTCATAATGTGCAGATTTATTCATTATTAAAGGATCATTTCCTGGTCATGGTTCAGCAGCTTTAATGTCAGCTGAGCCGCTGCCTTGACATTTTCCCTCAAACTTATTAAGCCCCCTCTTCCAGCGCTGGGGGGCCAGCCGTCGATATCGTAATGAGTCACACCCGTGTTGCTGACGGGTCCCATGGCTGTAAGCTAGTGACAGGACAAGGAGAAAGTGCCATTGGTGCAGCGGGGGTCACATGGCCTGAGTGAGCCTATCAAATCAGAGTCTGCTTCAAAGTTTGATAACGGTGGGAAGGGGTGATGTCAGTTGCAATAGGACACCAGGAGAAACGTGGCTGGGAGGATACAGTTTGGCCACCAAGAGTCATGGGCAAGGAGCTATGAAACCATCAATGTTGCCATGACGGCTCTTGAATGATTTGACTTTCAGATGTGACAGTAAGCAGACTGATTTTGCTTGGCAATGCTGTGCCTGCCTCTCACTGCTGCGTATGGCAGGTGCATTAGCATAAGATGCCAGACTGGGTCTCGCATTTGTGATGTTGATGCAACATTGCATTGCTGTGTATTGCAGACACCATTTATGCTGAGATGAATGAAGATGAGCCCCTACGTGATCCTCAGGCCCCTGTGAGCAGATCTAAGGGTATGGTACTTCAGGTCAAAGCATGGAGAGCCCTCACCGATGTCCCAGGTCCCCGGGCTGCTGCTCTCGATCTCGCGGCGGCCAATGAAGTACCAGACGCAGGCCATCCAGTGGGCGAGCAGAGCGAACATGGACATGAGCAGCGTCAGCACCACCGCGCTGTACTGGGAGTATCGCTCCAGCTTCTGCAGCAAACGCAACAGCCTCAACAGCCGCACTGTCTTCAGGAGGTGAACACCAAAGTACTGCGTGGAGGAGAAGTCAGAAGGTCAACACAAGAGTGTGGAATATGGATTCATTTGAATTTCAAAGCAAGTCCTTTCCATTGCACTCAGCAGACCACATTTACACGGGATCATGTGCTAACAGGCTCTGGTTTTCTCTGGCTCTACCAGATGCAGGTAGTAACCAGTTTACTGTCATGGTTCGTCAGTGTCTTTCACTGTATTTTGTTAACATGTCTCTGACTTGCTTCTGTGGTTAATTTCAACACTTTCCCAGAGAATGAAGCCAATGGAGTTACTGCAGTTATCTGGAAAAAGTCAATAGGATTCTGAGAATGAGACCCAATGTTGAGCAGTAGCCACAAAGGATTAGATATGATATGTATTTTCATTTACATTGACTGTTCTGTTTATACTAGCTGCAATGAGAAATGCTGCATGTTCTAGGGCCTTGATATGAGTAATTTGGGGTTTATTTCCAAACATCCCAGGCATTTCGTTCTGCAGTGTTGTTCCTTCTGTCATTTCTGTATGCTGTCAATCCACCTAATTAATCTGCACCTGAACAGGATTAGCTGATGCTACAACCCCAATGTTTAACCCCAACAGCCATGCCCACACACCAGGGGGAGAGACTCACCACACTGACATTGAAGGCATATAGCAGGTCAAAGGGCAGCGCAGCGATCATGTCCACAAACAGCCAGGTGGTGGCATAGTGCCCACAGATGGAACGTGCATCGTATACCACCTGGCCCGTTGAGCTGACGTAGGTGGTACGGAAGTTCAGGACAATGTCTATCAGAAACACACAGTGGCTGTGTAACACTACATTATGTTCTTTATGCTCTTTAGTCGACGACCATCCATCCATCCATCCATCCATCTTCCCATGTAGGGACTGGGGAATATGTTAATGAGCTTAATCAGCTTGTGCACCTCATAGCATTCCAGAGTGGTATGGGATGCCATTAAACAAGCAAATTATGTACTTAAACAAGCATTAAGCATGTGCTTTTTTGTAATCCCTGCTACCCTGACTAGAAAAGAGCACTTGGGAGATGAATAGATGGATGTGTGGATTACATTTTACAGTCTTACTCAACAAAATTTCTGTTTGTTTAATCCCCTTCACTTTTAAACAAAATAAAAAGAAATAAATCATTTAAAACACTGTATACTGTTCAATACAGAATGAAACATAAACATAAATGTCTGTCATTCATCATTAACTTAAATAATCAATAAACATATTATCAGAAATCTAATTATCAGAAGTTTGTTTAGTCTGACGGGCAACACAGTGACTATAGCAATTAGCTGTAGTTGTAAATTAAATTAACAGATACATGAAAAATAGAATAGGAATAAATCTAGTCAGAAGTCTGAAAAGTTAGACTGAATTAGGTGCTGTTACACACCTATGTACTGCGTGATAACTTTTAACCAGAAAGTATGCAGAACCTAGAACTAGACCTGACACTGTGCAGAACCTAGAACTAGACCTGACACTGTGCAGAACCTAGAACTAGACCTGACCCTGTGCAGATCCTAGAACTAGACCTGACCCTGTGCAGAACCTAGAACTAGACCTGACCCTGTGCAGATCCTAGAACTAGACCTGACCCTGTGCAGAACCTAGAACTAGACCTGATCCTGTGCAGATCCTAGAACTAGACCTGACCCTGTGCAGACCCTATAACTAGACCTGACCCTGTGCAGAACCTAGAACTATTCTTTCTTTGATGATGTGCGGAATGGAATTAAGTGCATGTTGCTATTTAAACTGAGCAGTGAGGTGCTTAAGACAATAAGCTGCCTAGCTGATTTTCGGGACAGCTGAAAAGTCAACCAGTGCTACGTAGGAACACAGTCTCTTGGATGAAATGTTATTTGAAAGATGCAGTACAATGGCCTGATTGATCATGAACATGAGTAGTCACCCTACTATGCATCAAATAGCTCAAATTAGGTGGCTGGTATAGATCACTCTACAGCTGTGATAAGGAACTAAAAGGTTATCCCTACTAGTCAAGGGGTGAGACACACACATGGCAGTTGAGGTTATATCCTTAATTAAATTGGGCAATTTACCAAACGGCCCCAGTCAACATTCAATGACTTACGGACCTCTGTCTATACCCAGGTAAACTTGGGTTTAATTGGCTCGCGTGCCCGCCTATGGTACCCTTACCCAGCATGAAAAGGATTTCCACCAGGATGTCACTGACGCTGGGTGGGCTGCGGGAGGCAGGGATTCCCTCGTTCAGCCCTCCAACAGCCGTGAAACAGACGTTGTAGGGAACAGTGACGGCCACATAGAACGTGGCCAGCAGGATCAGCCAATCCCAGCCCGCCTTGAAGGTGCCGTAGTGTAGCAGGATGAAACGGGATTTCTGGATGTCGGCTACTTTGTACTCTGGGAGGGCTGGTTTCTCACCAAACATGTTCTGGGCGGACAGATGCAACCAAAAGGTCAGGCGGGCTGGGAAATAAACATGCGAACACCCTACTGCACATATACCAAATGTCTGTCAAGTAAAGCAAGCCATTTCCTGTATCATGTAAAACAAGAAGTCATCTGAGATAGGACTTGACCTGGGATAACCGCATGCAAACCTATCAGAGCCTTTTTGTCGTCGCAATGACATAAAAGTATTGCAAGCTTATTCGTCAATAAATCATAGCAGCTAGAACTGATCCCAGGGATTCACACTCGGCAGCTTGGCGATTGGCTCAGCAATCTTAAATATGAGGCTGCCTGCACATTTGAATAGTGTTGAAGTGTTCAAGGCATCAGCTGTGGTCTCTAGAGTCACAGCTAATAACTCTCAATTTATGAGCTGAAATGTATCAGTACTGCCTTGGAGTTGCCATTTATAATTCATTACAGTGATCTATGAGTCCACAAAGATTATAGTCTTTACAGTGAGTCTATAACAGAGGTGAGAAAGAGCTGGGCCTGTTTATCACTCAGAGGGTATTCTCATGTCTACGGGTAGGGAAACAAAGGTCAGGGACTGCGACAGCCTCCGGAGCCTCACATTGTTGATCTTTAGCTTGCCCTTGTCCTGCTTCTGCAGGTGGCCCGACAGGTGGTACAGCACGGCCCGGCTGCGGCGGCGATTGGCGTTGAAGCCCGAGGGACGAGAGACGCGGTGGACGTTCAGTCCTGTCTCCTCATCTAGGGACACACAGCTTGTCATGAGTGGTGAGGCTGGAATAGATGCATGAGGTGTCGTGGCAGTTCCCCCCCCCCCCACCATGCATTACAATGTCTCAACTACCCTTCCCTCTAACTTCTACTCCTCTTCTTCCCACAGTTCCCATCACCTTGGCCATTGATTGGTCGTCATCCCTTCACTCACCTGTGTCTGGGCCTGGTTCTGATTCCTGGTCCTTCTTGTTATCAGTGATGTCCTTGTGGGACACCAGAAATAGCACTACCTCCCCCTTCTCATTCTTGATAGGGACGATGTCCAGGAGACACCAGAACTGTGTACCTGCCACACCAACGGAAAGGCAGAAGTTTCTAGAACGCACTCATCTTACAGCTACTATCACATGAAGCCTACAGGGTGGAGAAGAGCGGCTCATCGTGCTGTTCTGGGACACAGGAAACCCACTAAGCATGAGGAACAAAAAGTGAGATGGTTCTGAGTGTCTCTGGGCCATGGTAGCACGTTATCATCATGAATGTGTGAACCGTGTGCTTCTGTGCATTTGTGGAGCATAAGTATAACTCACATTCTGTACATGTGTTTGTTTTAGCCAGTGTGACTCACCAGTGTGTTTCATGTGTCTCTTACTTTTTCTAAATCCCAATTTGAATCCTTATTTTTTTTTGGGGGGGATCTATCCTTAACATATTAAGCAGATTTTTTCCACCCAACTAAACAGCAGCTTGCAAATTGGTGTAATCAGTAGCGCTGTGCTACTCTGCAGCTACTGAAAACCTGGACACAGAAGAGTCTGTAGGTATATAAATGCTCTTTCCTCCTTACAAAAAAAATTGGTGTGCCTTTATTAACATGACCTTATTACCAAGATCACAGTTTGGACTGGCCTACTATTACTGAAAGAGGCCTGTGTTCCCAGAAATACCTAAGGTAATTTGCTCCTGAATTTTTACTTTCGAGGCTTGGCAGGCACGGGCTAGATTAAAATTACGGACCGCTGCTTCAATTACGTTACGTCCCCATGTAAAATGAGTCCCATCGAAATAGAGCGTAAATCTCCTATGAGACACATAGACACAGGTTGAGAGCAAAGTTTTGAGTCAGAACGCAAGACCAGCCATTTACCCAGCACTTCTGGAGCAGTTTTCAGGGTTAAGGGTCCTGCTCAAGACCCCAACAGAGATAAGATCAGTCTCTATGTTCACGGGACAATAAAGCCTGGAACTTGAAAGGAGGCATCAGCCCCTGGTGCCTTGGTGCCATCATCTGTCCTTCAGTGAGAGTGTCACAAGCTCACAGGAACGTGAGCAACCTGCAGGTTTCAGAGTCCAGTGCATCTCTCTCCCCGGAGGACCTTCTCCAAACTGATTAATCTCTTCCAAACCACAGGGATTCCTGGTTGTTCTGTGGGCCATTGTACCCCAGCCGTCGCCTAGGTGACCCCACTGAGAATGGAGTCACCCAGCAGCCGGCTGGTTCACTCTCATGCATCCTCACATGCATTCCAATGTATGTTAATTAGTGTTAGTCACATGATCTGGACCATCCTCCTTGTTTTTCCCAGTTGCTTGCAATGACACGTGTGTCTTTCCAGGGATTAAGAGCTCACATGTAATAGGTAAGGCATCTCTCACTGAGCTTCAGTCCCAGTCGCACGACCACGGAACAGTCATATTTAAGCGTGACATCAGCAATCCAATTACAAGGCCATTTGAGTCTGCCCAGATTGTTACTGCTGCCAGCAACAGAATATATGAATTTCATTTACTGTGTAATAACGTGTGTTCTGCTGGTCTCTCTATTTAATGTGCCTTCACAGAGTTGAATTGATAATATACATCCACGATGCCTCATTCCTCCGAATTGCCTCAGGTTCCTGTAGTCGTACAAATAGCAAATAAAAAGAATCTTATTTTTTCCTTCCATGTCTTTCTCTCCTTCCACAAACCGCACACAGTCCTGTCCGGACCGTCTCACCTCCCTTCTTGTAGAGCACCAGCTCTGTCTTGAACTCCCGCCGCTCCTCCAGCGCCCCCTTGATCTGCGTCGTCAGCCGCTCGCTGGTCTCAGGCCCGTACAGGAAGTGGCAGGCGCAGCTCTTCTGCATCAGCTCGGCGCGGGCATAGCCGGTGAGGTCGCAGAACCCGTCGGAGCAGTACACAATGGGGTAGAGAGACTGGACCTGGGCATTCCCCAGCACAAAGTTACTGTCTGTTAGAGAAAGAGAGAGAGGCCAAGATCAGGACCACATCGTTAACAGTATAAAGCGGACATCACAACAACAAGCAGCTTTGGAAAACACGTCGGTGGTTAAGACAACCAAAAATATACATTTCTTAATCAGTTTTGACATTTTTTTCCCCCATGTACTGATTCTGCAGTGACATTCGTCCATTTTCTGAAACTGCTTGTCCTATTCGGGGACACAGGGGGGGCGGAGACTATCCCAGAAGCTTTGGGTGCAAGGCAGGGAACTACCCAGGATGGGGGGCCAACCCATTGCAAGACACACTCATACTCCACTCAGTCACACATATGGGCGATTTGGTAACTCCAATTAGCCTCAGCATGTTTTTGGACTGTGGGGTGGAGGAACCGGAGCACTCAGAGGAAACCCCACGTTGACGTGAGGAGAACATAGAACATGTAAACTCTAAACCCTGGTCCTAGAGGTGCTACCCCCTGCACCACCACACAAAGACACTCATCCATGATCTCTCACATGGTCACCTTCCACACCAGCTGCCGGCTTATTTGACGATCAGCTTATTTACTCACAGAGTATTCATGTGAAAGGGTGTGGAGAACACCAGCGGAGAATGAAGGCATTTCAGTGGTATTCAGCCAGGGCTTTTTAATGGACCTATTGCATGGCCAGCAGTCAACATAGAAACTGAATAGTGATTAAAACGTGCGATGGGAAATCCCAGGCCGGCTCTGTGTTCTTATACTGTGATGAAAAGTTGTGGGATGCCTGTATGTAGATAAACATGATCTGCTAAAACGGACCTCTGCAGCTCATTTTGCTGCGCTTTCCGTGCCACCATGGGGGGTGTGTCATGTGGGGGAGTGGCCATGAATGAAATACCTTAAAAAGAGCCAATTGGAAGGCTGCTACCAAAGAGCCGTCGACTTGCGTGTGAATTTCTTACATAGTAGGCCAGTGTGTCTCACTGTGGGCTTTGCTGGCTTTGCAATACAATGTGTCCGTCTGCTTTTCCGTTTGTCAGACAGCGATAAGAAGCTCCAAAGGTCCTACTAAAGCCTAACTGCATGTATTGTATACACAATAAATATAATTCCTATATTTACTAAAATTCCTGACCTCCGGCTAACCTTTCACATCCATTTCAGAATTTCCATAAATATGTCCGTGAGATTATGGAAACGAAAAACAAATGGATTCCATTGTGCTGGAACGAATTATGCAAGACGTATAGTTGTAATCGGCTGTGTTTAGACTTATTTACAGACAAATTAAAAAAAAATTAAAACGTCAGTGACAGAAAGTCTATGCAGCTTTATAATAACCATCCAGTGCGGGGTCCTGATACACCTGGAACCTATCCCAGGAACCACAGGGCATGAGGCAGGAGACACCCAGGACAGGATGCCAGCTGGTGACAGAATCTTAATAATGAATAACTGCATCATTATTAATCCATGTGTGATTCTTCCCGAAGCTATTTGGGTAAAATGTCTCACTCACTGGAACCAGTACACTTTCCCAGCTGGAATTTACAGCAACACTCAGACAGTCACACATTCAGGACCGTCAGCCCAGGCCATTCTTCTCTGCAGTTATTTTAGAGATGTGAGATGTGCTTCTCAGTGCATGGCCATTGTGAAATAAATCTCTCCGAGCCGGGTCCAGCCTGCGTGCATCGTACTGCATATCCAACCTGAGATGCTGTTTCCCCTCTTCCTGCATACCAATATTGATAACAACACTCTTCTTTGCAAATGTATTCTTTTGAAAATTCTTCCTTTTGAAAATTCTTCCCCCCCCCCTGCCCCCCCATCAAAGAAACCACAAACACCCTGGGGCGCGGAGATCATAAACCACAGCTATTATTTGGTCTACCATCACAACACGGGGACTGAGCTCTAGGACGTATATATACTCATTAATAAAGCATCCTCACGAAAAGGTCACAAACCACACACACACCCGCCCACATCGCCAGGCCTTCTACCTGTCAGCTCTTTCCTCTTTGGCTGTCGAACCTCTGAGCGCTGAGTGCTGACAGGACCGGGGAGGCTGACTGCGAGTTACGGATCCGAGGTGATGGCGATTCACCTAACGTGAGGTCATAGAACTAAACAGTGCTGGGTAATCAAGAAACAGGAACCAAGACACAGCCACAGCGTGTATCCGACATCACATACTTCCTTGCTACGTAGTACGCAAAATATAGTATGTAGAATGAGCAGTATGTCTGAATCCTCAGTGCTGATGAGACTTTGAACGCTGTGCTATCCCACAAGGCCGCTGGAGCTGCAACCAGCAAAGAAAAATGCCGCATGCTCGGGAATTTTTGTTAAGATGGTGGAGGAAATGCCGTCTCTGTTGGTCGACTCAAATATGTATTTTTTTTTCATTGATAGTTTTTAGCAGTTGCGACATTGTGTGGGGTCAAGCTGTGGGTCAATATGCAAGATGTCGACTGCAGTACATCCGACTGCATGCATACAGTATTGATTACGTGAAAGGTCAATACATACCATGTAGGTATACAGTCTTGGATGGACTCACAGTGCAAAAACCGTAGAGGAAATCTAAGAAAGTCATAATACCAAAATGGAAATGTGAGATAACATAATTACTGCATCAACACACTGTAAAAGAATTTTCAGTACCTAATACTAGCCAAAAGGGATGTTCCTCAATGCTGAGTCAAAAAAGGTGCAAATTATACTATACAACTACACATCCAGATAAACTTTGCACCTTCAGTTAGCTACTGTGTCACATGTGTCAGTCAGCTGTCTTCATGTTACTCAGTTTGAGATTAGGTTTGGAGGCCAGAAAATACTCTGCCGTGGAGAGCAATGCCAGAACACGTGCCGTTTTGCGGTTTAATTCACACGCCATCGTTTACATGTGACTCCCCGTGTGCCTCTGGTACGGACCTGAACTGTGAGACTTGGGACTGTGTGTATGATCCTTTCACAGTGCATAATGCATACCAACCCATACTTTCATATAGAGCATAATATATACACTGTCAATTAGAGAAAATATATATAGCCAAATATATATAAAACACATATTCCTCTGGCAACACGTTATATATAAGTGCATCTGTGCGTCTGGCTTTACTCAATATATTCCTTAGTGTTTAACCATAAAATGTGGATACTTCTGTCGTATTTGGAAGAAAACCAAGCTGACTCACATAGGAGGTTATATTTAGTTAATGTGAAACTCAAACTAATGTTTAAAATGTGACACATCCCAGCCCTCTGAATGTGGTCCATAAAATTCCTAGCTTTCCATTAATTTGAATCATTTAAACCAGGGTGGCAATTTTACCCACAAAGGGCCGATGTGCATACAAGTTTTTGGGATTAACCTTTAGGTCAGCTGTTCAAACCCAGGTGTGAGGACTCTTCAGCCAATCGGTGCTCTAATTAGTAATATAATTCGGGAGTTGCAGCGAAAACCTGCATACACAGCGGCTCTTTCTGGGTCTGACTGGCCACCCCAATTTAAACACATCCTTGTGCACTTTATCAATTAGTTTATTTTGTTCTAGATTGGAGTTTTAATATAACATTAATTGAATTTAAAAGGAGTTTTGAAAATGATTTTGTCTTTGTTCTAAACAAGTTGACTAAAATATTTAAAAGTGTCTTTGCACATGTCAGAACATGTTAAATAAGGACTTCCACCACCACAAGTGGTTCCTTACATTTTAGCAGGGAGAAGACTTGTCCTCGTTTGACTGCATCCTTTTCACAGCCATTCAGCGTTTTCATCTTCTCACCCAAAACACTGAGGTATCGTTTATCCCAGTGTTTAGCTACATGTGTGAGCTCATGCATGTTAGGGACAGCAGAGCTGCTTAAGGCAGGCGTCCAGATAAAAGCGGCGTGCACATGAAGCCTACATTTATTTACTTTCCCTGCCCTTTTCGCTTTTCATCTTCACAGGGAACGAGATCTCTCTGTTCTCTGTTATGGGCAAGTTGCTATGGTAATGTTTAAAGATGGCCGCCCCCTTTCATGTTTCGGTGGCTGCAGAGACTGTCCTTCTCCTTACTGAGCTTTGTTTCATAGCTCATCAGATTTTCATCAACCAAATATGTCATCATAGACCCCTGAAAATGTTTACTCTTGCATTACTCGTCATTAGTTATTTATTCATTCCCTTTTAGTACATCCTGTACTTAATGCATATGACAATCTTAATGTAATATATGCTTTATTTTCTTTTTGTAGTATGCATTCCCCTTGCTTATGTACTATTTGCTATTTTCACACCTGAGCCAAAGTGCAGCGTATCTTGCATGGAGGAGCTGAGGCCATGTGATGGACAGCAGGCCTTAAAAGCAGCCTTCAAATGCACTTAATTCACGAAGAGAGCTTGCAGAAGCTGAAGATATCTCAAGGTAAGTCTCTTTCTTAAAAGGGCCACTTAGCTTTCAGGACAAAATAGTGGCTGCCATCTCAGGCCTGGAAAGCTACAGGGAAGTGAAGGGTCATGGACTGCGTAATGTTGCTTCTTCTGCTACTGCAGAGTTGGGTAATTCAGGTTCAGAGAGTAAAAGTCCGAACCAAGGTTTTGCTTCAACCAACCAGTTGAGCATAAAGAGTCACAGTCACAGAGTACTCAACAGGTTGGTTGAAACAAAATCCCGGTCTGGACTTTTGCTCTCTGGACCTGAATTACTCAACTCTGCGAAGTACTGCTTCATCACACCAGTCTTCAGAATATGCCACAGGGTCCCGACCAACAGTGTCTGTGATTTACCCCCTGCAATCTGCATTCCTCTGCATCACATACATTTAGGGTGACCACCCAATCCATGTCGGGGAGGACACTTTCAGCTACTTTGGGTTTTACAAACTACTTTAAAACTGAAAGGCTCCTATGTTTGGCTAAGTAGTTCAGTTCTTCTTGTGCTATGACTGGTTTGTTTCCTTGACTGAAAGACTCATCAAGCTGTATCACATTAACGTTAGTGGCACATGCTTGATTATAGGAG